GGCCCCCATCCTTCACAAAGATGCAGGAGTCTACGTGTCTCTCGCTTTACCGGAACCGCATGAACTTCGAATCAAGGGATCGTTGCCTCGAATGTTCATTCATTAGGTTGCTTGCCGCCTGCTCCGAAATATCTGATAGCTATCGGTAAGACTCTTTGTGACGTTACAACCTTTAGAAACGGAGCCAGTCCACTGATGAGGTACGGGAAGCCGACAGGGCACCTCTAGGTCTGAGTTAAAATAAGCCGATTTTTTTTTCTTTCTTTACATAATCGATGCGATTTATCATCAATACGATCACGCCACAAACCCGGGACGAACCACCTGAAAGCAATCGGCAGCAATGGACTGGCGCAACCCGGCGCCGGCCGCTGGAAAGGCAAAGCTCCTGGCAAGGCGCTCCGGACCGGAACGCGCAATCCGTAACCCTGCTCCACAACGCAGTAATCACAATTGGACGCATTTCTGCCAAACGGAACTATGTGCATTATGACATGAGCCCTGGTATGCACATATTCTTATGGGTCTCAGGGCTCGTGTCTCAATGCACATAGTTCCGTTTGATAGAAATACGTCCAATTGGCCGTAATTGAATCAAAGGAAACTATCTTCACAGGTACATGGACCCTGCCATGCATGTATCCTCTCAGGTCTCAGGGGTTGAGTCACGCCGGGTATACTTCATTTTGACTTAGAGAAGGCCCATTGATGAGCTCTAGCTCGGCGATGATCTTCTAGGCTCCGGAGTATCGGTATCATCCGGTTTGGATCCGGATTTTGAGGGATGCTGGGCCGCATGCGGTAAAATCATCCGCACACCGACGACGACAGGAAAGTGGACGCCACCTCGTCGCGTCGTACAGAGGATCGAGTCAATGGGGAAGGTCGGACAAAATTTGGAAACTTCAAACGCTTACAACTCCGTTTATACAATACTTTAAGGTTCTGAAAGTGGTTCCAGTGGTTTCCTCGTGAAATTGGCTTCAAGAAACACCCCTTAAAGTTTGAAATGTAGCGAAATGAACATAAAAATTTGCAATTTTTAGTCAAAAATTTCATGTCCGACCTCTCTAATTGACTCGATACACTGTGCGTCGGAGGCGTTTGTTTTACCTTCCGCGTTTCGAAAGGCGAAAACCTTCATACGGAGACGAGGATACTGGAGGTTATCGAAGGTCCAAAAAGTTCCGCGTGATTTTTGTACGATTTCGCCTCTGAAGCGTCAACTGAAGTAATTGCATCTCTACGATGCAACTGACCTATTCAGAACAAGGGACGGTTAAAAAATAAAGGAGGGGAAAAATTTTCGTAATACCCACGGTATCTGAATATTAGGCACGGCTCGTGGTGCCACGCAACAAAAATTGTTGCATTTGGCCACAAGTTATAAGTGCTGTATGGCTTAAATGCAACAAGCATAATGAGTGTGGCTAAATGCAACAATTTTTTTTTTTTTTTTTTTTTTTTTTTTTTTTTTTTTTTTTTTTTTTTTGGCGTAGCGTCACGCAACAAAGAGGGAGTTCCGCGATCGGCCGCTAGGATGTCTTTATTTGTGTGTGATTTTTTTGGATTTTATTCCTTAATTGATAGATTGGGAATCTACAGCCATCTATAAACAGACGTTTTTTTTTGTGTGTGTAGGTTTATGCTAAGGATATATTAGGGAGTTAGGAAAACGAGTACAAGAATAGAGTGCCCCAGCCCCTACCCCAACTTCACGCTAAGAGGCTCGACAAAGCGACTTTCTAAAAGGGTGTCTCTTAATTTTGAAAGTTGAAGAAAGCTAAGTAGCAGCACTAACTCTCAAAACGTGCTACGATGTGTCGAAAGCAAGAATCGTTTTGAAAAATAAATCAAAATATTTTTTAGAATATATACGTGAGGTATTTCTGCAGTCTCGTAGGCGCTAATACACGTTTCATGCTGACCGCACCGTACTGTGTTTGGCGCAATGTGTGAAGTATTCCTGCAGTCTTGTAGGCGCTATAATATGCGTGTCATGCTGACCGCACCGCACTGTATTTGGCGCAAAGCGTGAAGTATTCCTGCAGTCTTGTAGGCGCCAATATGCGTTACACGCTGGCCGCACCGCTAGGGTGTCTTATACTTTTGAAAAGTTGAAAAAAGTTTAAGTTGCCGTTTGCTCAGAATATATGCTATGACATGTCAAAATCGAGAATAATTTTGAAACAGAAATTGCCCACCCAAAAAACCTGAGATTCTATTCCTTACTGCCGCGTTAAGGAAGAACGCCGTATGAGCATCCAAAAGTTGCCAAATTTTCTCCGATAAAATGTTTATTTTTGAGGAAAATTGGCAATTCTTTTCTTGAAATTTTACGATCAAATTACAAGCAATTACCTGATAAATTGGAAGAAAAGTATTCACAAATTTTCTCGAAAATTAGTGATTTGTCAAAGGAAAATTGGCAACGCCAGAGGGCTCATACGGCGTTTTTCCTCAGCACGGCAGCTTACAGGGTCTAACAATGAGACTCGCTTCGGCGTTTCGCGGACCCCCGTGAGTGATTCTAAATAGAGCGGAAACATCAAAGGATTATTCCCAACCAATCGCTGCAAACGTATAACTTGAGAACGCACTGTTGCAAAAAATGAGCACTGCTATTGTTTCAAGGGAGGTTTCGCGATTTAATCACGTAAGGTAACAACACATGGGTCATATTTTCAAAATCTAAATCGAGCGGGCTTAGTCAGGGACAATCACATGCCAATAGCCGCAAGAGTAAAGGAAATCGGCCTGGTGGAATGGTAGAATGCCCTGTGACAAAAAATGAAAATTTACTGGAGGGCTTACAGTAATGATTGTCCCATTTTCAAAATTCTCTGTAAAGACGTTAATAGCCTGTGACGCTGAATGTCTTAAAACATACTAACTAACTAACTCAATACTGTCATTTCTACTTTGATGATTTAAGTAAGTTCTGATCTTCCGTAGTATAGTGTTAATTTCCAAACTGAAGCTTTCATAACCATTTTCTTCTTAATGACTATTAGCCGGAAAGTAGAAGGGAAAAAAATAATACCCGCGGGCAGAGATCCTTGAACTGCTCAACAAGTTAGGTTTTAATTGTCGACTATAGAGGAAGCTGAAGACTTACTTTCATGAAATTAATTTAATCCATCCCGGTTTGATATCTACTTACACGCTAGAGAAAAACGTCGTGAGAGCATTGGGATGTTGCCAAATTTCTGCTGATAAAATATTCATAACTTAGAAAGAAGAGAACATTTTTCCTTCAAATTTTCGAATACAATTTGTGTTATTGCAGGGTAAATTTAGAGAGAAATTCGATGGAAAAATTAAACAATTTAAAGAAATTTCATGTACTACCGCCGTGCCAAGGAAAAACGCCGTGCGAGCCCTCAGGCGTTGCTAAATTTCCTCTGATAATACACGAATTTCCTAGTAAACTTATGAATATTTTCCATCCAATTTTTCAGATATTTTTGTGCGCAATTTCACCCGAAGCGCCTGAAAATTTCAAGGAAAAACAATCATAACGTCCCGCTTAAATAAACATTTTATCGAAGTAAATTTGGCAACTCTCGAATGTTCAATGTTCATACGGCGTTCTTCCTTAGCACGGCAGATTACTAGAACGTTCAAATCGACGGTGCAAGTCGGGAATCACATAACTCGGTTTCCGACGTCGCAGACTTCCTGTCTAACTTTATAATTTTTAAACGGAGAACTACTTTAAAACTCTTTAAAACTGCCGTGATTTCTCGTCTCTGTGCTAAGACAATTCTGCAAAAACTTAAAGGAATGATGTCAATTTGTTCCCCTTTAAAAAAATAACATAGAGGCGGAGATTTTCAGACACCGCAAACGAGATACATATGTGATTGCGGACTTACGCCGTCGAAATGTTCCCGCGGTGTATTTCTTGTCTCCGACAGGATAATACTGAGACTTCAGACATCAAAGCTCAAGTTGACGCGTGCTTTCCAAGTTGCTTTAAAATTCTGCAAAACACAGTGGTACCTCAATCGAAATAATTTTTTGACGACTTGAGAATTACTAGCGGAGCACTCGAAAGGCTCTTGGTCGGAGAACAAATTATTGCATATTTATCTGCGACATCGAGTGCTACTTCACTCCGCGTAGTGTGAAGGTCTACCTCATTGCCTAGATATTTCAGAAATTCGAATTTTTCATTGCTACAATCGTGAAATTCCACGAGGAAAGGCACCGGGGTGTGCTTCTTATTTCCCACGAAATTTCACGTATGATGGGAATAAATAATTAAATCAAAACCTCGCCGCTGCATTTGACAGGCCCTTTTAAAATTTTTCCAAGCCGTATACAGGATGTTCCAGGATTAAGTGCAAATATTGAAGGAGTCGATTCTTTGGGTCAAAAAAAGACGTTTTTACGTGACGTTTTTTGTGACGTTTTAGACGTTTTTTTTTAACTGTTTTTCCAAAGGCGCTTTCTCTGGAGGCCACGGCCCTCCAAAGTTAAAGGGAAAAAAATTGTTTTTCAAACACTGTGACAATGTTTATCAACCAATATTCATGAAAATTGGTAATGGGGTGATTTTTAGTGCTTTTTTTCATTTTTGACCTCCAAAAAAGGAAAACGCATTTTGAGGGGGGGGGGGAGTTATTGAACCTGAGAGTGGCCAAAATTAATGTTTCCAGCGACAAAAATTGATTTTTGACGTCATTACTGGATTCAGCGTTGAAAAATATCAAGAAAATGTGTCTAGCGTTTTCATCACTATGACTCATCGTTTTCGAGATAATAGGGACTGAATGGAGCGCGGGTTGGTGCGAGGGGGGTGGGGGTTGGCCCCCAGGGAAAGCGTTTTTGGAAAAAAAGTTATACCAAAAAAAAATCTATTCTTGACCCAAAGAATCGACACCTTCAATATTCGTACCTAATCCTTGGGACACCCTGTAAAGACAGAAATAGGGAGAGGAGAAAAAGGGTGATGACGGAACAAAAGAGGAATAAATGTGATGAGCATTACTTACGATTCACAAGCTAAGCTGTTCTGGTAGGAGGCAAGCTCTGGTCTGAAAACAGAAAAAAGTTGTGAGTTAGTGCTTGGGTGAGAGAAGTCGCGTAGACAGTCAAAACCACTTTTGGCGAGAAATTCGCAAGATAATAACTCAGTTTTACCGAGCTCGATCGTAATACTGTTTGAAAGGGTGTAGGGATGTAAAATGTTCTCCATATGAATTTCAGCCATAAAATGTCCTCATCCTTGGTATATCGTCGCTCCTCTAACGTAAGGGCGTATCCCGATTTTCACGTGAGCCCTGTTCTCCGTATGTGTCTATGCTTTCTGGGGCTCATATGGCAATTGAGATACGCCCTTACGTCAGAGGGGCGACGGAATGTCCTTCCTTAAAAAGGTCAAAAATACGCAAACGCATCTCCGCGTACCCACGCCCGGTCCCCATTGGCGGACCCAGCAACTTGGCAACATTGTCTTTTCTTCATTTAAACCTATGTAAATGTATCGATTCTTGTCAGAGCACCTGGCCCCTCCAAGAATCGATTATAAAGCATAGGTCTAAATGGAGGGAATCCGGTGTTGCCGAATTGCTGGATCCACCTCTGCCGGTCCCCGGAGTGCCCCTTCCTCTCCGCAATAGTTGGGTTCATAAATATTTTAAGCTAAAAAAGTAAAAAGTACAACGAACCACATACAAGCTTGCAGTATCCCAACAGGATAAAAAAATCCGAAAACAATTTGAAAAACCGAAAAAAGCAAAAAGATCCAACTTGCGCTATGGCTCATCTGGCTTAAATTCCATCACGTTCCGTTACACTGCCATCAGAGGATGTAGGGGAAACCGCACATTCATGCTCTAGGCCTTCAAGTTTTCAGAGATAAAAAGGTCTATGTGTGTAATCTCTACTCCAGTTTGTGACATTCATGAGCCACGTTGTCTCAACTCTCTCAGTAAAGGGACTCTACAGACCAGAAAACTCCGCTTATTTAACACACAAAAATCGAAGCAAATATTGCCCCCTGAAATGACACCCAATTGTACTTGGTTTTCCAGTGACGTAGTGGTGGAGGAGCTAAAACATTCTGTTTCCCCGTTTTCCGTCTAGATGGAGCGCGCGGTGTGCGGTGTGGCGAACTGGCGACCCCCGCGCCGAACTCGCGGTCAATGGTGAGCGACGTTGCCGGCTCGAAGGTGAAATCCGGGGATTCTTCGGGGCATCCGGTGGGAAAAGCGGGGATTCCGCGACAACAAGAATGAACTCTGTGTTGACGCTCGATTCACCCACTCCCTCCGCTGTCTTGCCTCCGATCTAGTTAAACGTAATCATATTATGTCGACGAGACGCGTCGCCGGGAGAATTGCATTGGTTTCATATTAGCGCAGAACTGGGTAAATCGGAGTCGTGGATGCCAAATTCAGCTCAAAATCATCACACACGGGCTCGTATAACTCACTCTAGAGGGGAAACATTTCATCACACCATTAGGCAACACGGGGCACGGTTGCCAGATCATTGGAAAAATTTGCAATTTTGCCCATGTGACTCAATACAAAGTGTGCCAATTGCATCGCATGATTAGACAATACTGAGAATGGTCCCCAGATCATGGAGAAAATTCGTACACTTTTGCCCATGTATATCGTGCAACTGCATAAGTGCAAATTTCATCGAACGATCAGGCGATACTAAGAATGGTTGCCAGATCACGGTGAAAATGAGCACTTCGCCCGATGTGAATCGATGTAAAGTGTGCAAATTTTATCCCGCGATGAGGCAACACTGAGCAGGGTTGCCAGATTATAGTGTAAAACAGAACATGTAACTCAATATGAAATGTGCAAATTTCATCACACGATCAGGCATTCCTGAGCATGGTTGCATTTTTCGCTAATCTTCAAACGGAACTGTCACTTAAATTTTTACTTTCTTGCTCCCCTTGCGGATTGAGGAGGTATCGTACACTATGAAGGCCGGATACACGCTCAAATTTCCGTCAACTTTCGATCAAAATGATGGCAAAAATGACGGTCGAGAGTTATCTAAGTTGTCATTTAAAATTAATCAAAACAACGTGTTGATTGAAATAAGCACGGTTGTGTGAAAATTAGATGACGAATGAGACCCACAGTTCCATAATCTACCATCAAATTTTTGCAGGACGCAAAAAATTGATTCTAGATGGTGCGCACCACTCACCATTTGATCGGAAATTGATGGAAGTTTGAGCGTGTATCCAGGCCTTATATAAAATCATAAAAGTAACGCATAACGCCTCAGGCGCAAAGGGCTTCGGGGAGTTGGATCCCACAGCGGTCAGAGAATTTCTTTGAATTATGCTGACTTTTTCAAACATTTGGATCGGCATTCACTGTAATAACCGAGCAGACGCCAGCCCAACTCGCTAAATTCCTCAATGTTCCCCGGTCACCGGCAATTCCTTGCCTTTCAAGTCAACTCTGGTAAAAATCGGCAATAGGAGCTGCGTTTCAAAATTCCATAGGAATTCATATAGCCGGCTATAGGAAGCGATAGCCAAGTATATAGCTAGCTGTAGAAAGCGAAGAAAATCACACAGCCGGGCTATACGAAGCGATATATACAGCTGGGTTATAGCCCTGGTAAAAATTGGCAGTAGAATCTGTGTTCCGAAATAGTATAAACCTACGGCTGGCTGTAAGATTTCCAATAGCTTCTATAGCCGGCTACGCAATTTCTTATAGCCTTTTATAGCCAATGGCGACTAAGCAACTCACAGCCAGGCGATAAAGTGTACGCTAAACGTCACTAATTACGGATGCTAGGACTTAGTGAGTTTTTGGACCACTGCTCTCTTTTTGGGCCGTAGTATCTTGATTTATTTTGCGAGGAAAGCTCCGTACTTTTGATGGATGCCTGTCAGTCCTAATATATTAGAGCGCCTTCAGTTTCGTATGATACTGTGCAATACCTCTGGTATGAAATAGTTGCTTCAAGCGCCGTGGCACGCTGCGGCGCGGCAGGCGGGCAGCCAGCGCGAAACGCGCATTGGCGCCTGCAAACCTAACTGGGATACTTCAAGCGTTGCGCAATGCGTGAAGTATCCCTGTTAGGTTTGTAGGCGCCAGTGCGTCGCCGCTCCGCTTTGTGTTAGGCTCTAATATTTAATCTGGCGGAGTCAGCGTTATTCAACTCATGATTTTGAAATGTTTGCACATCCTGTAAGTATGGATTATTCTCGTTTTAATTGATGAAAAAAAAAAAACATGTATTAAAGGAAAATATAACGTGTGTTTTGTAAATATTAAGGTAGTTCCGTATCAAACTTAATGATTTCCAAAGCACACGAATTTCTACACAATTTCTTATAGCCTTTTATAATCGATGGCGAAAAAGCAACAGGCGGGCAATAAAGTGTAAAGCCCGGCGATAGGAACTATAGCCCGGCTGCATAATTTTATATCCCTTCGTATAGCCCGGCCGTATGATTTTTTCCGCATTCTACAGCCAGCTATATGATTTTCTGTAGCCTTCTTTAGCCGGCTATAAGAATTCCTATGGTATTTTGAAACGCAGCTCTCATCGCCAATTTTTACCAGGGAGTTCCTATCGCCGGGATATACACCGGGCTACAGTTTATCGCCTGGCTGTGAGTTGCTTAATCGCCATCGGCTATAAAAAGCTTTAAGAAATCGTACAGCCGGATATATATGTAGAGGCTATAGGAAATCTTACAGCCGGCTGCAGGTCTACAGTATTTTGGAACACAGATCCTACTGCCAATTTCGACTAGGGAAACCTAAAACTCTGTGTGCGAGGGACGTATTCGACGTAATTTCGACGTATTTCTGCGAAACGGACCTAAGTGCATTAGAACATGAGCCCTGAGACCTATGAGAATATATCTGTATCAGATCTCACGTCATAATGCACATAGTTCCGTTCGGCAGAAATACGTCCAATTGTGGGGTTAAAGGGGAAAAATATACTTCAGAGAGAATTCGAAAACCCCTTTTTATAGCAATACGCGAAAACGAAGGACGTTACGGTCAATTTTCCACACTTAGAATATTGAATTTTGCAGAGATATTGAAGGAATATTGTACTCACTCGCATGTTACGTCACAGTGCAAACAAATAGGAAACTGCAACAGCGCCTTTTTTTCTAAGCTCTATTCGTCTGTGGTGACAACTTTCACTCACGTCACCGTCAAGTTCCCGGGCGTGAGAAGCGGGAGGGGGAGGGGGGAGGGGAGGGAGGAGGGGGGGAGGTTGACTATAGAGTGATAGTATCGAAAGCCGTCTCTCCTTCCCCCCGAACCCCGCATTTTCCATTCCTCGCCTACCGGCGCGGCCGCGATCGTTTAGAAAAATGGTCAAGACCTACTCGAAAGACTAATAACATGTTTCGGGGAAAAACGCCCGTTCGATTATTCATCTACTTGTTCTTCGCCGCGGGTTTCGGGCGTATGCCTCGAGTGACCACAATCGGAGGTAATTAGACCGGGAGACAAGGTAAGACAGGCACAACAATGGAAGGAAAACAAGCGTCGAGGGGGAGGCGAAAGGGGCGGATTGAGGCCGAGGACCCCCCCCCCCCCCCCNGAGTTACCGGGTCTGAGCTGGCGCTACAATATGAATGAAAAATTCCGACGTGGAACGACGACGCGACGCGACGTCCCAACGAGCGAGCGGCGAACGCGGCAACGGTGCCGGAGTGGCGTGAAACGAAAAACGGAAGAAACTTGCGTCGAGTTGACACGCTGAAAATCAGAGATGTTGTTAGGAGCGCTTATAGTCAGTCAAGCTGATAACTCTGCCGTGTTACCCAGCGCCAGGGTGTCGAGCAATTTTCAAAAATAAATTTTTCCAACATTTTTCAGATTTCCTTGACAAAAATGGCCAAAAAACCGAGGAAAAATTTTGACTTGACTTGAACTTCTTGGAACTTGAAATTCCCCTGAAAAATAGGAAAAGTATTCCCAGATTTTCGACACGGTTGAATTGATTGGACGTGGATAAGAATGTGTTCTTTTAGGGAGGGACTTGCGCGTCCGTCACGGCTAGAAAGGCCCGC